GTGAATGCCATTGCACATAGGGTCTAGCATCCATCGCGTACCCTTAATGAACCCGTAATACGTCATGCATCGGCGCGTTTTCCAGGTAGGTCAGAGCGAATGCCCTTGCGCATGGGGTCTAGCATCAGTCTAGCACCCTTAACATAGGGTCTAGCAGCATCCATCGCCTACCCCTAGCCGTAATACGTCATGCCTCAGCGCGTTTTCCGGGGTCGGTCAGAGTGAATGCCCTCATGCATAGGGTCTAGCATTCATTGCCTATCCTTAACGCTCCCTCGCGCATAGGGGTCTAGCATTGCCTACCCTTAGAGCATGGGTTTCTCTTCTTCAGCGAAACTCGCGTCGGCATGCAACTAGCCACGCATGCACGCGCACACCAGCATGCCGACGCTTACATTTTCCGCCCGTCGTTTCTCGTCCATCAGCCAGTACGACGGCCTGTCGCTCGATCGGTACGGCGCCGCGTCCGTCTTGCGCGCGCCCAGCTCCCGCGGTCGCCACGGCAACGGCGCGACCGAGCCGTCGGGGCGCCGCGATCCAGCCACGGTGCCCGACGTGTGCGTCGTCTTCTCTCGCTTCTCGTAGCTGCGCTCCTCCGACCGATAGCTGTACGGCTCCCGCTTGGGGGCGCTAGCGAGCGGCGCCGCCGCCTCGCGCCTTGCCGCCGCCTCGCGCGCCCACGGCGGCGTGTAGGGACGCCGTATCGGCGGCTCCTCGGGGATCTTGTATCCGGGGGGACGCGACGGAGGCTGCGTGTCCCGGGGAAGCGCGGACGTCTTCTGCTGCCAGGCGGCGCGCTCCTCCGGATGCCAGGGAATCGGCTCCTTCGTGCGCCAGTACTCGCCGCCGTCGGCCTGGCGCCCCCTGGCGGGCATCGTCTCGACCTTCCTGCGGCCGGGATCGGCGGAGTGGACGGAGGGCGGCTGCAGCGGCCGCTCCGGCTTTCCGCGGGGTAGCGTGCAGAAGGCGCTCGGCTTGAGGCGGTCGCCCCTAGGCGGGCGGCCGATGGTTCGATAGCGGGTCGTCGTCTCAACAATGATCTCTCGCTTGCCTAACTGTATGTGCTGCGAGGGGACAAGTGACATGCTGAACGCTGACAAAGAGTGAGGAGACAGGGAGAACGGAGAGAGGGAGGAGACAGAGGGAGAACGGAGAGAGGAGACAGAGGGAGAAGAGAGAGAGGGAGGAGACAGAGGGAGAACGGAGAGAGGAGACAGAGGGGGAGAGAGAAGAGACAGTGGGAGAGGAGACAGAGGGAGAAGAGAGAGGGAGAACAGAGCGAGGAGACAGAGGGGAGAGAGAAGAGACAGAGGGAGAGGAGACAAAGGGAGAGAAGACAAAGGGAGAGAAGACAGAGGGAGAGGAGACAGAGAGAGAGAGGAGAGACGACAAGAGAGGGAGAGAGACGCAGAGAGAGACCGAGAGAGAGAGAGAGAGAGTGGGGAGCAGAGATGAGAGAGAGATCGGACGAGCGAGAGAGATAGGAGAGAGCAGATGGAGAGACGGCAGAGACGAGAGAGAGAGATGATGAGAGCATGAGAGAAGAGAGAGAGAGAGGATACGCCGCACCGGCTGCGATGAGAGATGCGGCCGAACGATGTGTGCGTCGATGGAACTAAGTGGCCTAGCTGCGAGCGAGTGCCAACGCACTCTCGTCCCGAGGCTCTCACTATAGCTGCCTCGCTCCCCAAGTTTTCCTTCGCCAGCGCGTTTTCAACGACGGTGAACCCTGTTTTAGTCCACCCACTCACAGTTCTAGTTACAGTGTCGAGAACTAACTACGGTTAGGCCACCGCCGAGTGCAGAGTGCGTTTACGCTGAATCTATGTAGTCAGGGCGTAGACGGTCGGCTAGCTAGCGCGCGGGCGTCACGCTTTACGGACACACTTGCCCCGACCGTTTCTGTTCCGACACCGCCACGAGATACCGCGCAAAACGCTTACGGCGAAACACTCGCATAAAGAATTCGACGAGAGGGCGCCACTTTGCGGGTGTGACCGATTACCTTGCCTTGTGACAGAAAAGATGCCCATATGATATGACTACTAGGCCCACTTTAATTGTTAATTTAATTCTTTTTATTTTTTAGGTCCGTTAGGCGCTTAGGGTTAGGTGTTAGGCTTATGCCGTTTTTTTTTTAAAGTGCCTAGTAGTCTAATGCCTAAGTGTCCTAGTAGTCATATCATATCGCATCTAACTGCCGGGTGCATTACCTTGAGTATTTTGTAGTCGTCCTGTCTCTTCGAGTGCTCTGCCAGGCGAGGCTGCTAAATTGCAGTGCCTTCGCCGCGTCAAGTCCACAAGTTTCCGGCCTCTCTTATCAATCCTTTGCTGCAAAGAGAAAACGACGATGGAGGCAAATAAAAACGCAGAGCTGCCCCCCCACTGCAGCAGTAATGTTATGCATCGAAAGCAGCAAACATCTTAGTCCGCGCATAGAGTAAAAAAATCCCCCAGCGCTGACAGTTATTCCCTAGCGCGAGCCCCCCCCCCCGTCTCGCTAATTAAAAGTCGGCGTTACTCTGAAAATACAATATCGGGCTTCCGCCTGCTTTGCTTGAACGCCACTAGTTTGTCGTCTTCCCAGGCACGCGTGCTAAAAATTCGCTTCCGAGATCCTGTCAACAGGTGACGAAGGCAAGGTCTGATACCTAATAGGCGACAGATGCCACTGATGGTTAATCATAAAATAGAGATGAAAGTGTTTAGAGGCTCCGATTTGCAATAGCTCAACTAATAATAAACACACTCGCGTTTTAATAGGACGCGTAATCTGACGTCCAAACACTAACGTTCGGCGATTTGCGTGGCTATGTAAACGCAAGTCAAAAGAAACGGAACCCGCGTGATGTGTTCTGTCATCGCTTAGAATAACAACAACATGCGAGCATCCTGTATTTACTCATGTACAGTACTCTGCAACATATGATACTCCCTGGGAAGTGTCATAATATAGATGATCTATCTTATATATGATGAATTATCTATCGTGTATATTATATAGATTATCTATCTTATATATGATGAATTATCTATCGTATATATTATATCGATTATCTATATTATGACATTCGTGATACTACCAGGAGTCTATCAATATTGATAGACTCCTGATACTACTACTACTACACGGTAGCATTTCTACTGCCACCACATCGCGATTGTAATTGCACGAAAACGCACACACACACACACACAGTCACGACGCTTAGAATGTGGTTGCGAGCAAACAGCCAGATCATTTAGAACACATTAGAGATAGCACACGAGCAGGACCGCCACCTGCCACGCAGAAGGAATCAATCATTAATCATATTTTTTTACAATCGGCTACCCCATTACGTCCAATAAAGAAATAACCTCACTAAATGCTGCGCGCATGCCAAGATAAACCTGCTTACTGAGCAACACTCTGGTTTACGTTATAACTGACCCCGCATTTGTGCATGTACCCGCACAAGGACAGGTGATTGGAGGGCAAATTATAACATGAATTAAACTAAGTGTGGTACGTATACTGATCATGCTATCCTAGTAAACAAAACACCCACGCACACGCACGCAGCTTTGCTGTCATGCTGATAGCATCTAAGCAAGCAACCGCGAGAGCAACCGCGACTAAATACCACACGAATAGTATCGGGGCACGATAGATAACTTGTTACATGATAGATAACTTGTATTATATGATAACTTGTATAGATAACTAACTTGTATAGATAATTTGTATAGATAACTTGTATAGATATGATAGATAACTTGTATTATGAAACAAAATTCTCTAACTACAGTTAGAGCGATCGAAGAAACCCGCTTCCTGTTCCTGCTCGTGAATAATATATCCGATACATATTCTGACATTTCGCTGAGACATCGCGTGAGTATACGTGCAATCTTACACATATAGTATACGTGCAATCTCACACATATAGTATACGTGCAATCTCACACATATAGTATACGTGCAATCTCACACATATAGTATACGTGCAATCTCGACCCACTCTTGAGAGAGGGAGATTGAGAGAGGGAGATCAAAGAGGGAGATTTAGGAAATCACAACTCAGCAAACAAAATCTTCTCCTGGATCGCACTTACTCCCTCTACATTGTTTACCGAAACTATCCATCTAGCTCTACTCCTGTACGTGGAACCATTCTGCATGGTCATTCAAGCGGCATTGGACAACACCTATGGGCAACCGAAGGTCATAGCTCCGGGGCGAAATACCTTTCGCGTGACCTCTCAACTGTCACCTAGCGCAGTCTCGGCATGGCTGTACGCGCTGCATCCTGCTCGCTGGCGTTCGAATATTGTGTTTGGGCCAAACGGGGTGTTTAGTAGTGAGTGGCTGACTGTACGCCCACCAGAGGCATGCTCGGGCGAACAACACACAACACACTATGATGCGTGACGCGGGCAATATCATAATAACAGGAGTGAATACTAATAGATCTATTATTATTATTCACTCCTAATAATAACATATATATATAATAATATAACTGAGATTGGTGACGTGTATAATCAAGGTCATACAGGACAAAGCATGCAGATCACAGAAGAGTGACGAGTTACACTTGGCCTCTCATCTCACCAGTGTCGGGAACTAACGAGTACCAGATGGTATTTGATCCGCTTCTATTCCGGCACTCGTCTGCTAATCATTTTTGCCAGCATGAAATCAAAACATTTCGAACTTCCATTTCCAGTTTTTTTGTGTGCAAACCGTGCGTAGTTTTGGACAGTTTTAGAAATGTGCGAACATTTCCAGTTTTGCAGCACTGTGGTGACATTGCTGAGAATCTCTCAGAACAACAAGACATATCTCAAACGTGTCAGATACGATTATGAACAGACTCAAAAAAATATTTGTGACACGCATCTTCTACTTCTCCCACTAGATGGCAGGCTGGAACATCCAACGTATATGCCTTGAAAAATACGCGACGAACAGAACGCTCTGAAATGCGCTCTGATGTTCAGAAAAGGGATCTTACTTAGAGTTAGAGTTTTCGGCGAGTCGGGGATGCCAACAGATGTAGATGGTCCATTGTTTTCCGGACCGTTAGCCGGCCTGGCGACATCATAAACTCCAATGGCTGCATCGGGCGTTTTGTTTGAATTTCCAACCAAGACAGGTGTCCTGAGAGTGCTGTAAAAAACCAAACTTAATGCGGTTAGCAAGACACGAACTACGTTGAATCAACACTGAATTGCTAACGATTTCCCTTCCAGTTTCCACAACCGAATGAGTGTTTTTCGTGCATCCGATATTATCTATTCAAGAAACCCCCACTGTGAATGAAAAATTCAAGCTATTTTACAAGATTTTTCCCATCATTAATCGACACTTCACAGTAATTTACAGCATAAAATTGCCACACGATACCGAATTATCAGGCACTAATCAGTCTATTTAATCAACTTTGTCTCCTTCCATTTTCGATACAGTCCTTTGGACTTTGAAGACTAATATTTACGAGGTTACCATCGATGCAACCAACAATTAAAGGATGGTATCATGTGTATGCAGCTCACACCGCCCAGTCAGACGGATGGACAACCGTACGTACGCGTACCTTGCGGGAGTTGTGGCACGCGAGAGAGGTGTGGTTGGTGTGGGTGGAAGGACGGGCTCGAAGCGAGGGCAGTTGTAGGTTCCCTCGGCAGTTTCCACCTGCAGCTTGCCGAGTGCTTGATGCAGCGTCTGTACCAGCTGAAACACACGCCAGAGATGAATCACCATAGCGACGGTATCGATGGCAACCGCACGAGACTGAGCGTACAGAGACTTACGACTCTATATGTCATTACACTGTTCTATCATTACATGTTATTTCATTACTGGCCCTAGTCGGGTGAATGTACACCTTGTATGGCTTGTACCTATGTAATATTACAGTGGTTTATGGATAACGCAAATCTTTACCTGTGCAGATTGGCCGTGAAGTGCTGTATCAGCATTGAATATTGCCTGGAACAGCTGCACGTAGGTCTGAATTCGGCTGCAAACAAAAATGTTATTTATGTGAGACATTCAATCAACACAAGAATATATGTGAATTACTTGCTAACAAAGACATTCTGAAAAGTCATTTTGAATCTAAGTTATTTTGGCGGGTAGTGGATGGAAACCCGAGTCACCACGGAAAATTTATCACACCTAAATTTAAAAAAAAAAGTTTTTAACTGAAAAATAAGCGAATCTTATTGAAAAACATCAAATCATGAATATAATGTTTTTTTGTGAAATTCTATAATCACCTTCATTTTTCATCCACGCTGAACCGATCAGTCATTAGATGTAGCTATTGTAATCATGAGAGAAATTACCTATCATTAGAGATAGGAACTCTTACCTATCGTAAAGCTCCGGGAGCTGCTCATACATCGTACTGTTTATATCGTCGAACAAGTCCTTCGCTTCCAATAGTTCACTGTGAGACTGGAACAGCATCATTCATATTATTACGCAACATACAACAATAATACACAATATTACTTGCATAAACAAAACAAACCCACAACCAATAACAACAACAACAACAACAGCAACAGCAACAACAACAACAACAACACAGCAGTGATGGTGTAGTTAGATAGCAGCTTGTTTGAACAAAAAGCAATAATAATAATAATAATAATAATAACGATGATAACAATATAATTCAATAGTCGATATGATCACGCCATTCATATGTGAAACTTTTACTGACTATCAGAATTCAGGGGCGTGTACAGGATTTGTAGCAGGGGCGGTCTAACCATAACCCAAACTTGGGAGGACGCGAAGGGGGGGTCTAGGGGGCACTCCCCCAGAAATTTTTTGAAATTAGACCCCCTCAGATGCGTTTTCTGCGCGAGCAGGGGGGGGGGTCCGGACCCCCTGGACCCCCCCTGTACACGCCCCTGGAATTCTCATTCTGCAATGCTGTTGTGGGAAAATAACACTCTGGTGACAACAAATTGTTTTCACAATGACGAAACAAGCAAAGAGCATAACTAACCGCTGTTTTGACTAAAAAAATATAACCTTTGTCCCTAACCACTTTTAAAGCCAATTGTTAGCAATTGTACTAGAACCTTGAGTGAACCTGGTGAATCGTGGACCACGGAAACGAATTTATTCGTCATGCACCATCGACATAGCAAACAAGAGTTTTATTTCAACACAGTCACATAATATATATATATATATATATATATATCTCTCTCTCTCTCGCTCTTTCTCTCTCTTTCTCTCTCTCTCTCTCTCTCTCTCTCTCT